CTTTTTATTTATATGTATGTTTAGAACTGAAGGTTTTTGATAGCATTGTAAGTGTATGGCTTTTTTTTTTTTGAACTTATTTTCTCATTACTTGTTGTCTATAAGCCAAAATTAAGGTGTTTGAAAATAGTTTATCTTAAAATGTTAGGATGGGCTTCTGTGCCTGGGTTACTGATACTGATGGAATTTTTTTGTACGACGTCAGATGTTAAAACACCTATATAGCATCACTTTAAGACATTTTAAGGACTGACTGAGGCAGTTTGAGAATTAGTCTAGAACAGGTTTTTGGTTTTTTTCTTCTGCTTTAGACTTGAAAAGAAGAGACAGGCAGGTGGTCTGCTACAGAGCAGTTTAAGGGAACAAGTTGAACTATGACTTAACGTAGTCAAAATGTGAGTGGTTGAATATCATTTAAAAATATCCAATTGTGTGAAGTTGGAAGCACACTGATCTTATTTTGTAAATTCTGATTTCTTTTCACCATTCGTATGTAATACTGAACCACTTGTAAATTTGATATTTTTTGTTATCTACTGCATTTAGGGAGTATTCTAATAAGCTAGTTGAATACTTGAACCATAAAATGTCCAGTAAGATCACTGTTTAGATTTGCCGTACAGTACACTGCCTGCCTTAAATGAGGAAATCAAAGTGCTATTACAAAGTTTAAGATCAAAAAGGCTTATAAAACAGAGTAATCTTGTTGGTTCACCATTGAGACCGTGAAGATACTTTGTATTGTCCTATTAGTGTTATATGAACATAAAAATGCATCTTTGATGTGTTGTTCCTGGCAATAAATTTTGAAAAATATTTATTAAATTTTTTGTATAAAAACATGGAACAGTGTGGCCTCTTCTGAGCTAACATAGTCCTGCCCGGTTTTGCTGTATGCCTTTGCTACCCTGACTGATCTGTGCTGGTTATCAGGTATAATAGGCTATGCCTGACAGGGGCAGGGGTGAAGAACTGAAAGGCTTTTCAACCACAAAACTCACTGAAGTTCTCAAGAAACCTTGGGGCTGCTGTGAAGCTGGAGCTGTGGGAGCCTTGATTCCCTTGTTATTCAGTAGCAAGTGTGAATACTGCTTGAATAAACACCACTGGATTAATAGCGTGTAGTGTGGAGGTGAATTGTTTGGGAGCACTCATGGGAAATGCTCACTGTAATAAAGGGGTTTTAAACAGTTTGGAATTGTTGTTTGGGGGATGAAGAGGGAGATTTAATGCTTGTCTCCCCCCTCTGGCTATCTGAATTAACACTGACACCCTGCCACCATAGACCATGCCCTTGAAGCTTTGGTGCATGCTCAACCATTAGGGTGATTTCCTCATTGCACAGTAGGGAGTAGGAGGCTTTTGGTGTTAGGGCTGCATCATCGCCTTGGCTCAGAGAGTGAATGCTGGGCTGGCCTTGCCATGCAGCCTTGGGGTCTTGTCTGCTTGGCCTTCCACGATGTTCCAGGGTCTGGAAGTCCTCAAAGAGCTGCTGCTCTTTGGCTGCTGGGGACTAGAAGCCAACATGGCATATTGGTAGAGAGTTTTCCTGTCCCCATATTGTGGGGTAGGGACACTGCCTCAGACTTCTCTGCAGCAAGGCAGGAGTTCTGGTGACAGACAAATGGACAGCATCCAGTAGCTGAGTGGAGTCACTGGGAGTTCCTTGCTTCAGAAGCCAGATTACCCTTCTTGAGTTGTTCCCCAGTGTGTCAGCATTCAGGCCCATCTACCTACCTGGAGTTTTCACAGTGTAACTCCAACGGGCACAACAAACTTTGGAGCAAAAGGCTGACAGGGATATTTTTCTTCTTAGGAAACTAATTTTACTACTAGAGTAGAAATTGTTCTCAGATGGGCAGCTTGTTCAATCATGGATGACGGTGGGCTTTGTACCCCTGGCTCCTTGTGCATAAGGAGAGACCAAGAAGTACTGAGAGTCTGTGGTGGCCTTTGGTGGCCAACAGCATGTTGTGGCTCACTGACGAGGCAGCCTAAAAGACTCAGCATGAATGAGTCTAGATTCCCATGATAGCATCCTGCCTTGGTGTAGCAATAGTTTATCATTTCTGCAAGGTTGTGGGGGGAGGAGCAATATAGACCCTTAAGCCAGGAGACAGTCTGGTTTAGCCATGCTAACTTCAAACACCATCCTGAAGCAATATCTTGTTCTGGGGGTTTTTAAACTTGTATTCTGTAAGACCCCAGAATTCTTTGGTAAGCTGCCAAATGGTTTTGTGCCAAGAAAAAAAAAATGAGCCTTTGCGATTCTTCATTCCAGGAGGGAAGTGATCTTGAGATTCAGGGGTGTTGTCTTAAGGAGCCTTCCATCCCAGACATTCTTTGGTAGTGAGAGGTTACAGATCAGGCTCCTGGGCAAGGCTCAAAAGTCAGGATCTTAATTGTGAAGAGAGAAGGAAACAGCAGAGCCCTGGTTATCATGGGCTTAGCGATGTGGAAAAGGGATTCTCCTTTACCACTTCCCATGAACATTCTCAGCCCTCTTTAAAGGTGCTGTAAGAGTCCAGAAACTTGGCTAAAAGATTCTAGCATTATAATATACTGTGAAATCACAGGAAAGAATTAACTTAAAGCTGGTTGCTTTAGGATGAGAAACTATCCTGAGAGTCTGGATTTAACACAGTATAGAATTAGAATAGAAAAGGGATAAATCGTGACTAAAAGTGAGACTAATCATAACTGTGACTTGGCAAGTGAGTTTCTCTTAAATGCAGATATCCAGGCCTGGCCCAAGACCTGCTTTGATCAGACTCACCAAGTTTAGGCCTGGGAACCTGCATTTTCAACAAGCTCTCTCCCCCACCTCCTCCTCATCTCATGTACCATAAAATTGGAGAACAACCCTGCTAAAGTTCTAAAGTATAAGCTCTTCACTAATTACAATGTTTTCTCTCCTTGTTAAACTGAATTAAACAGCCTGGAAGCTAGTTTGTTGTAAAATTGCCACCTGATATCATTTTTAAGTAAAATAATTACATAGCCCCTTGAGCAAGTTGTGGTCTAAGTGCTTCATCTTTACTAGCTGATCTGAGGGGTCAGTGAGTCAAGGTTAAATTTTTTAGTAATATTTCCTAGGTACCATAGAGTGGAGAGGAATGAGGGTGTAGGTTCCCCACCTTTCTAAATGGCTTACACCTGTCTCACATAACAAGTGTACAACTAAAAACCAGTTGCCTTTAAAGAAAAAAATGTCCTACGGGCCTACAGGGGTTTGAACTTGGGCTGAGCAATAGTCCACCACTTCCGTTTGGATTGTGGGTCTCTCTTGCCTCCACTGGGAATGAGAAACATGAGTTCAGAGGTTCTCAGTCTGGAAAGACATAAGCACATGGGTTATGGGAAGCCTCCTCCTGCTAATGTGTATTTATACTTTGTAAGCTCTGATTCATCCAAGTATTGGAACAGAAATGTGCTTCCTGAGGTTCTGTTTTTAAATAGACAGTTTGCAAAAACAACACTTATTTTTCTTAACCTTTTTTTCCCCCATTCCACAAGCAGCTAAACATCCCTGCTCAGGCTATGTCAGACTCCAACGATGCCAACAACTTGAGTATGTGAGGCAGAAGGGTGCCCCTAGGCAGTTCTTCAGGGTTCTGGCCCCAGAAGTCTTAAAAACAAAGTTTAGAAACCATTAGGGCAATCTGGTTGCATCACTTCAAATCCGTGAGATATTTCTGGGGATATTAAAAACAATGAATTTCCCTTTGTGAACATTGCCTTCCAATGGTTATTAAAATATGTGTGTGTGTGTGTGTGTGTGTGTGTGTGTGCGTGTTCGATGTTTGTGGTGCTGCATGACTGCTGAGGCATCTGAACACCTATCTGGCATCCTCTGAGAACCTGTCAAAAGGGTGAAGCTCCCTTGCCTTGGACACATTCTACCTGTACTACTTGCTCTTGCATGCCAGGCACAACTTTCCTGGCACAGAATATGCTTCTTTCAAGTCCAGGGCAGCTTTTACAAGTCTCAAATTATGTATCATTATGCATGAGTCCAGTATTAACCTGTGATATGCAAGTCAGGAAAACTGACTTGGAGAGTAAAGGCTCTTAAATCCATAAGAGCCTTGAATGGAAGTCTGCCCGCCGCTTCTCCAACCCCTACAGATATCCATACCAGGGCACCCGAGGGTTGCACTATTCACAGAGCAGGTCAGATGCCAGCAACATGAAAGGAGCAGCTTTGTTTTAAACAGAAGCACCTGGCAGGGCCGGTGGGGCTCACTGGTGATCCGGAGGGAAACACAGGTTTGCAGCTGGCTTCCTAATGACTACTGGGGCAACCACACTGATTGGGCCACTCTATTTTACACCCGAAGGGTGAAAAGCTGCTTTGTCTCATCCTTGGTGAGATAAGTGCAGTTGAAAAGCATTTTAGACTCAATGATTGTTAATGCAATTGGGGATCCATCTTATCCACCGAAGGATCCAACCCTTGCTAGTTTCCCAGAAGGGGAAACTGAGCCCTAGAGCAGTCCTGGGATTTCTCATACAGTTAGCAACCGTCGGGGTAGGACTTGGGGCTCCTGCTTCCTGGGCTGCTGTGTATTGTGTCTCCTCTGGGAATTTTCCAGGTTATACTAGGTTATACCAATGATCTTCCCTTGGGCGTGATTTCCAAAAGTAAAGTGCTGGAAGAGCTGCGCTAAAATGCGATGCAAAGGGTCCCGGGAGGTGGCAGGGAGCACAGTGTTACCACTGATCTGAGGTAGCTCTGACTACAAAGTGGCATCTCTATAAATAGGGAAGCAATAGGTATTTTCTGAATCAAAGGGAGATTAAGCCCTGTTCTTTTATAGGTTGTTCCTTTGTTCTTGGGAAGTTTCAGATTTCCTTTTTAGATTCTTCATAGAATTAGAAAATGAATCAATCGCAGGAAAAGGGATTCCGAAAGGAATCACACCCCTCCAGCCCATCCCCCCACACACACACTTTGCGCGTGCGCGACGTCCACACGCACGTACATGTCCACGCATGCGCACCTTTCTGCCTTGTGCAGGACATACTGCGGCTTACATGCCTGGGACTCAACTGCCAGCGTCCGGTGTGGGATCAGGTGATTGCAGTGCCAATTAGGCCTCATTGCATGCTCGCCGACAACGCCCGCTTCCCCGGGCAGGTCCCTAACAGGTTATCACGGAAATCATCGGATCATTTGCAAATCCTAAAATCCAAATGGCTTGAATGTGAAGAAGCTTACTGGGTCCAGTATGCCGCTGGGCTGGCACACACACACACACACACACACACACACACACACACACGCACACACACCCCGGGGAGTTCCTGCAACTGCCTTTAGGCAGCTCTGCTTCCTCTGCTGACACCCCTAAAAGCCTACTCCCCAGCTGTCTCTCCCCACCCCGCGCTGATGGTTACAAACGATTCCACGGGTCATCTTTAACCTGTTTGTCGTGTCAGGTTATGCCAGGATTGTGCAGAAGTTTCCTCTTCGCGCACACATCCACGCTGAGTAACTTGGAAAAACCCTGAGACAAAAACAAACTTTCCAAGTTCAGGACATGAACAATCAGATACCCTAATGGGGCTCCCTCTGGCTTTGAACTGATGTTTTTTTGAGGTCTTTTGCAGAGAATTCAAGGGATAAAATAGAGAAGAGGACAAATGTGAAACAGCACACAGTTGTGCACAGATGAAGGAAAAATGCCCCTGGGTAAAGGAAAAGGCCAGGAAGGGAAGAGGGTAAGGCCTCATCACAACTGACTTTCTCCACATCCACACTCGATTATTTCTGCGCTTCCTGTGAGCCCTCAGTTGAACAGTGCTGGCTGTAGCGCCGTTACTAAAGTGGTCCTGAACATTTCCTCTGGAGTGTTCTGCCTTCATACGGGCCTGACCTGTTGCTTGACGGACTTTCACCTTCTTGTGTAAAGTCAGGCTGAATCCTGGGTGGCCAAGGGCATGTACTCTGCAGCCAGACTTCCTGGATTCCAGTTGCAGCTCTTGCTTCCCAATTCCTGATTTGGAATTCTCCCATTGTAACCTAACAAATGTTTCTGGGTTTGGGGTTAGATTCCAGAAGCCTTGCTACTTACTAACTTGAGTTTCCCAAATTCTTTCTGACTCAGTTTCTTCATCTGTCAGGGTGACAACGAACATGTTCCATGTAGCGTTCATGAAAGGGGTTGAAGGAAGAACACTGCTATTTGTATTTTCTCTAAGCAGCCTGTGATACGGTAAGTCCATTAAAGGATTAAGCAATTCAGGTAGATTCCAACAGTCACCTTTCTCACCATTAAACTGGCCCCCTGTCAGAGAAGGGCTAGTCAGTGGTAGCAAACCTTTTAGAGACAAGTGCCCAAACTATAATCCAAAACCCACATATTTATCACAAAATGCCAACAATGTAATTAAATATGAATACTCAGGTTTTAGTTTAGAAAAAAACTCATACATTACTATCTTTTGTCTTAAAAGAAAAACAACATTGCCATTGGTTCACTTCCACTGGACTAGGCTGTTGGACCTAGTGATGGTCAGAATTCTAGGATGGACCCCAATGACTCCTAGTCCCTAGTTATTCAACTAAACTCTAATCCAGGCACTGCAGTGAAAGGAATTTTTCAGATATAAAGACCCAAATCAGCCTTAAAATACAGATTATCCAGGTGAGGCTGACCTAGTCAGGAACTTTTTAAAAGAAAATCAGTTTTCTCTGGTTACAGAAGGAAAAGTCAGAAGATTCAAAGTGTGAAAAGAGATTCAAGGCAATGTAAGTTTATTAATGAAATGGAGGGGGCCAATTGGCAAAGACCTGAGAACAGCTTCTAGGAAATCCCTGGCCAACAGCCAGGACAATGGGAGCCCTAATCCTGTAACTATAAGGAGCTCAATTCTGCTAACAATGCAAAGGAGCTTTCCCTAGATGAACCTCCAGATGAGGATGGAGCCTGGTTGATGGCCTGCTTTCAGCCTTGAGACCCCAAGCAGAAGACTCCGCTAAAAAAGGTGTCATAAACCAGGAGATAGTACATTTGTGTTGTTTTAACCCACCAAATTTATGGTAATTTTTTTCACAGCTTACAAAACTAATGCAAGCCTCTTATAAAGGGAAACATACCAGGCCATGTCACATGTAGATGCTGTATTTGGTTGTGACTATACAAATTGTCGGCTTTTTCCTTGATCAATTCAGTGCCTGCTACCAGTGTAGCAGAAAGAAAAGCTCATTCAAGAGGAGAATGAACTACAGAACTGGAAAAAAAACCAAAACAAAACTTGGGTGCCCAATTAAATTCCACAAGTGTGTGGTCTCCAAGTGTAGATAGCGGACTTAAGCCTGCAAATAGTGAGAATTACAACACAGTTCTTTCCTCTGTCCCCACCAGTTTTAAAAAAATTAGTGCCAATTGAGGTGAGCTCAGAAGCCTGGCTTTGGAGGACTCTCGGACATAGTCTGGGGCTAATTTTCTATCTTTATGAAATAACATGATGTTCTTTGACTCTGGTTTTCTTAAGATTTTCAGTGGGATGAGCATTTCAAAAATACTTTGGAATAGCCCCCTCTCCCACAGGAGCCCTTTCCTACAAGGGGCTTCCCTCCTTGGCTGTCATCACTCTATGGCAGCCATTTCTTCTGGACTGGGGTGGGGCTAAATGTCAAACCCAACTTTCTCTTCCACTTACTTCCTCTCTCCCAGGATTGCTCTCATGTGGTGGGCAGCTGGCCTAGGTAGACTGCATAGCTGCTGGCAGAAAGCTAAGGTTTCTCTTAAGTTCAACAAGCTTTCTGAAAATATTACTGGGACCTGGAATTAGATTTGAGAAACACACATTACAAGAACCAAAGTCATTTCTATAACCAGGGCCCAAAAGAACATGCAATTTGATAAACCAGTCCCAAGAAATACAAGTTTAACAGAAAGCGTGACCAGTTTGCTGTAGAAAATTTACAGATGGACAGAGTCTGCTTGTCTTTGAACTTGTAGAGATTTTAGGTGAGATCTAGAACATTTTGACTGGAGATTCTTAGCATCAAAACAAGAATCCCAAGTCTCTGCAGAGAGCTCTTGCTCCCAGAATTGCTTGAAGACTGATGGCCACTTTTCATTGGCCAGCCACCCCAAAAGGCTTTCTAGATGCCCAGGCTCGGCCCAAGTCATCTCTACCCCACTCTAGATGGTCACTGTGCTAAGCACAATGCTTTGGGAAACTGGAAAATGGCTAAGGAAGCATTTTAAGGAGAATATACAAATAAAGCCATGCTGCTGATTCATAAGTCTCTGATACCCTCCAGGAAGATTTTTTGAGGCTTTTCTTCCTGGGACACATCCCAGATGCCCAGCCCAGGCTCCCACATCCTGGCTGGAGGTCACTCTGATTTACCTTTCCACCTTCTCCTTCTGACAACAGGAATGGACCAGCTGGTCTGAACCCTTCCAGGCACTCACAGTGGGTTTGGGAAAGAGCCCTCTGTGTTCTTCTCACCAGTCAAGCATGTGAAGGAGGGTATGAAAAGGCACAGAGAGCCATGGGGCCCAGAAAATTCCGTCAATCCATCGCCTGCCTCCTCTGCAGCAGGCTCTGCCAATCTGTCCACAGTTCCAGGGGCAGGTAGAGAGAGGGATGTGAGGCAATAAGTGGAAATAGGAGCTGTGTGTGCCTTTGTGTGTGTGTGTGTGTGTGTGTGTGTGTGTGTGTCCGTCCAAGCACACAGACAGGACTAGCAATAGAAGAGCAGGCAAGAGGGCGTGGGAGTCTGGGAACTCATTTATAAAAGCTCTTCTGCCCTAAAGCAAGTCAAACTCCCTGCTGAGGAGTTGCTTTTTCTTCCTCCCTTTTGAGTCTTCTGTGCAGAACTGACCTCTCCCCCCAGCAGAGGTCAGCGCCCTGCTTGCCCTGCACACACTCAGCCTTCTGGGTCTTGCTTGACTTTGAGCCTGCACGGGAGAGCAGTCCTCAGCTCTAACTTCTGACAGAAAAGCTATGGAAAATGTCCTGAAAAAGCTTTTTTTTTTTAAAAGAAATATGTATGTACATTATGATAAAAAAAATCTTCTGGGAACTGTGCAGAACACAAAAAGCAAGCCTAAGAATTGTACATCATCGCAGAGCCCCCTCCCACAGCCTACTTCACCCCCTAAAATAAATCAGGCAGGGTAATGAATGAGGTTTAAAGAAATGTAACTGAACTTAAAATACAAGGTCAGTATCTCATCCTAGGTAATCCTTTGGAGGATGAGAAATTCTCCTGATTTTCCCACAGGGTTATTTCAGATGTGCTTCCTGAGCCAAACTATTTTAAAAGCGTTCATTCTTCCACTGCTCTGCCAAATGCTAACTTGAGATTCACATGCACTTTCAGAGAGCCTATTAATGATATTAATGATCATGGATCAAAGGCAGACTCCAGAGGTTTATGTAAGAATTTCAGACAATTATTTAGGTGCTTTAAAAACTCATCTTACAAATGAGGGTAACAGTTTCCCAATGTTGGCACAGACTAAGTGTTGTGTTCACATGTGTAGGGGCTAAAGTAGCAGAACAAATGCAGAGGGGCCTTAGGAGGAAACAAAACATCTTTTTATATGATTTAAACTTAAGACTACTGACACCTTGTCCCCACAGCCTTTCCTACTTGTTTGGAAGTAGGTATACTTGGATTTGCAGGAATTCCTTCTTGAAGGGTTACTCAGGTCTTAGCTCACCCTGTCTCTTTTAACATCTAATACACACACACAAACATTAAAAAAAGAATAGTTTCACATGAAAATCATTATTGATGGGCTTTAAAACAAGGTCCAGGCCTAACCTTAGTGATTGGGAATAAACTAGAACCTACCCAGGTGATTCCAGTGTGTGGCATGTTCACCTGAGTACTCGGAGGTATGGATGGCACTTAAAATATTTTTATTTGACATACAAAGAAACAGGCCTGGAAGGTTGAATAGCAACTTGGACCCAGTTTTCAGCTTGCAGCACCCTGCTGTTAAGCAGTCCCAAACCTAGGCCCCATGTCCAGTGCAGGGCCACGTGGTGAGCCACCATGACCAGGAACATGAAGGATGGGTTAAGCTTTATCATTTGTAGTCACTTTCTGCACTTCATGCATGGCTCTTTAAATGTATAATGAAATACTTCATGTACAGGCCACAGGGGAAATTTAATTACAAGTGACCAGAGAGGCTTAGGATCCTGAAATAGAAGGCAATGTGAGAAAGAGCTGGCCCAGGATTTTATCAGTCTTAAACTAGGATTAGACGCACATAGAAAATGAAAAGAAATTCACTTAGGGAATGTCCAGGTTCTCTGGAAAGAAGTCAAGCTCGTGTACTTTAATCTTCCACAAGGTTTATCTTAGCTCACACGGGAGCAGAAAGGGGAACAAATTCACACTGTAGGATGCACCCCAAAATTTTTAGGGGGCAATTTAATTCTAATGTTTCACATTGTGTTTTATATTCCTAAATCTTTAGGGGCAATGGTTCGAAGACCTCCTTTGACTATCTTAACAAAGTATTCAAAATCTACTAATTGCTTCTAGGAGAGAATGTTTCTTACAAATAGAACATAATTTAAAATAACATGTTCAGGGGCTGGGGATTTAGCTCAGTGGTTTCACCGCCTGCTGCGCAAGCACAAGGACCCAAGTTCGATCCCCGGTACCAAAAACAAAACAAAACCAAAAAACCCCAAAACATGTTCAGAAAAGGGTATTTTGGATGTGTATTCCTTGGGGCTAATTTACTTTTTAAAGAACATAAGTGACACACAGTAGTTTTTTAAAATACTTTATTCATAGAAAAGGTACATTTTCACTATATAATTTCATCACTTTGACATACACAACTATTTAAAAAATTTTAAATAAAACAAATGAGAAAATAAAGTTCATAGGAAAAAAGAACTCTTCTGGTGCTCATGGCAGTATCTGACTTTCTAACTCAACTTAAGAAAGTTATTGGCGGGGAGGGTGTCTGTCAAATTCATACTCTAAGTATGTGATCTGATACTTCTGGGTCAAATGCATGATTTTATTATTTTTGCTTAAGTAAATTAGGAATCAAAATTTTTGATATGGCCTATAATGGTAATTATAAAGTAATATGGTCTATGGTAATAATTATGATGCAAAATGAAACATATAAATATGATCAAATTCAAGCTCAGTACTATTTCTAGGTAACTAAAGATAAACTCCTTCATTCAGGTTCCTTCCCTTATGGGGTATACTGACATATATTTGTTTCCTGTCTTGTTAAATAAATATAGAAACCAAATTAGGGAGTTCTGCAGATTTCTGAGAATTTAATTATACCCTGAAACTGGAATACCAGGGATATAATATGGTTAGACTTATGTACTAATTACCTGAATTAACTTCATTTTACAGTGCTTAATTTATTTTGAACTAAGGAAGGCTTTAAACTGTTTAAGAGGAACCGGCTTAATTTTGATTTTTCAACTTGCTCCAACATGTTTTAATTCAGTAGTGTGTCAATACCAAAGAATGAACTCTTGTCTTGACAAACCATGCATGGAAATATCTTCATAAGAGAAAAGAAGAAATTAAGATGATTTCCATATTCAAGTCACAGCACGCTGAATAGAAAATTTTTGGCTCATAGGAAGCCTGCTTGTTATCTCAGAGGAAGGCCACTCACTCAATTGTGTGGAAATATTACTGCAGGGCTGCTGAGGACTGCAAGGAGTCCTGGAATGGCAACAGTGATCCCAGGCCATTCTCTTGGGCACACTTTCCTTCCCTTATGTGTATCTGCACTTACCAAACTTTCTGAAATTAAAGGCCACTGATATGCACAATAATCCATGCTAAAATCCAAACATGATAGCAACAAGAAAACAGTTACATTGTGATCCCATTGTTGTCCCCATGACATACTCTGAGAAATTTCATTCAGAGATAAGCTATATTCTCCATAAATCAAAGACTGGGGATTTGAGTGTGTGTGTGTGTTGGGGGGTGCTGAGGATAAAACCTATGGCCCTGTGCATGCACAACACTCGCTTTACCACCGAATTTCACTTCCAGCCCACGAGACTTGCTTTTTACAAAAGCAACATTTATTTTCCATACTTTTTTAGTACTAAAATAAGGGAACAACAACAACAAAACCACTGCAAAACTTACTCTCTTCTTCCCAAATGTTTGCTCCTTTGCATTTAGCGAATCATGAGTATCTGGATGACAGTTAACCTCCAGTGGCAAAGAAAAGAATGTGTAAGAAAAATCACACAGGTTTTTTTCCAGATATTTTTTGTTTGTGGACATTTATTAAAATAAAACTAATATCTATTAAAATGTTATTTGAAAACACATAGAGGTGACTTAGAAACAAAGACACTGAGCAAATTAAAAAGAGAGTTCAAAATTATTACACTGATTCAATCTGATCAACATTTCCTCCTAGCCTGAGAGTCACAAGGATTTGAAAATTTAATTTGGAGTATTGAGTTGTTGAAGAATTTGGTTTTTTTTGACTACAAATATTGACAAGGTCTCAGACTTTCAGACCAGATTACTAAGATTATTAAGAATATCAAAACACATACTATTCCTAACAGTAGAGAACCCTTCATATCCCACCTAGTAACAAAAAAACCTGGCATCTATTTTCCCCTTTGTACTTCCAAATATCCTAAGAATCATACAATCACTCAAGCAACAAGAGATCCAGGGGTGTTTCAGACATGTGGAAGGAAAATGCTCAAAGGCAAAATTCCTCAAACATATGCCATAGTGTGGGAGCTGAAAGCCACCTCCCGTTCCTGTTAATCCTGTTAAAAACCATGGTACAGAAAGGCTATGAGAAAGATCACATCTATCTACAACCCAAGGGTGCTGTTTTCTCCTTTAGAGCACAGGAATTGTTATTTTCCTGAATCTAACAAACTCTAAATCCAGAACTTTTCTTGAAAGGAAATCATTATAAGCACACATATTGGTCTTAACCGTCAAGACTAGGTTAACTAATGAAACAAAAATTTCCTCAATAAAACCTGGCGATTTCAATTCCAGTATCTCCTCCTAGTTCTACAGCAGGCAATAGCTTCTGGTAGGGCCACTGTTTTTATTCTACACTCTTCCAGAGACTGGTTTATAAAATGATCTAATAATTATTTGTTTAAGATCATTTAATGACACATTGTGGTCCTGTCTCCAGTTAAGAGCATATCTAGAATACTGGTCATTCTAATATAGAGGGCCTATGATGGGCCACAGCCACAATGTTCTACCACTTCTCAGGAAGTTTCCATTCTGAGCAGTCTATCCCTATTGTACAAGCAGAATCAGCTCTGCTGAGGTTAGCATTCTATTGGGCTCACTCTTCTCTATACTACAGACTTGACTAGAGTCAGCTGGGAGCAGGAAGAAAGATAGAAAGGAAGTGGAAAGGATCGTAGGGGGCAGGACTACAGTATGGTTCTAGTGGAGGTGTCGAGGCTGAACTGTAGGAAAAGGACAAATTTCCGGGCAGGGTTGGCACTCCAAAGTAATAGACACTCAAGGCCAGGCTTTATGACCACAGCTGAACTCCAGGATACAAAATAGTTCCATGAAATACGGTGGCCTACCAATGGGCCTCATTTTACACAATACATTCAGGGAAAGGACATACAGGAAGGGCACTCATTCATTTCAAGTACGAACCTACCCTGAACCTATTTCCGTATTCTTTTATTTTGTTGGTATTTATTTTTGCTAATTTAAACATTTTGGGGACTATACTTGACTTTCTTTTTTGGCTTAGAGATGCCTCTTTAAAGGATCACCTGATGTTAAGAAGAAAAAATGATGCACTGGATGGATGGCCTTTGAATAAAGTTTGTTACTTTAGAATAAAATTGAATGAATGCTTGATTTTTTAAAAATTAGCAACCAAAGCCCCATAAAGAGTGGCTTTACCTAGACCTCAGATTCTGATTCATCTCCATCATGACGGGAAGTAACAGAGTTCATACATCTCATTGTTAGATGCAGCCATAAGAAGCCAATCACGAAGATTTTTAAGGTATTTCCTGGTAATGTATTTCAAATACCTTTCAGAGAACCATTTCTGTGATTTTATTTTTGAAATGTCCAATGTGAACAACACTGCTGAGATTTCCTGTTTTTCCACTGACTCTAACCTTCTCCTGAAGAAACTTCAAAATTTCCAGAATCAAAATAGGGTGCAGATTAACCTTCCAGGTTGAACTCATAGGCCATATGTCTTTTTGTGGCACCATCATGAGAGCAGACAGTGCAAGCAAGGAGAATTTAAACTGCCTGTAAAGCCATATAACCGGGAAAATGAAAATTCTGGCCACTGAGTCTCTTTGGGTTCTGGTCTGTCTTGAACCTAACCAAAATCCTGGAGGTGCAGGGGCATGGTCAGAGGCATGCCTGAGCTGCAAGTAAGAGCAAGCCTCTCCCATGTCTTCCCATAATGCTGGGATGAATTATCCACAAACTTCCGGCAATTAGAAGTATAACAGCTCCCTAGGTGCTTTGGCTGTCCTACTCTAGTACCTGGGAACAGACTGACTCATACACTGAGCCCAGGTATTTTATGAGTTTGAGGGAATCTGAGGGGGTACATGTCCACACGTGGCCCCAGCTGATGAGCTGGAGGCCATGGTGGCCAGGCTGGATGAATTAACAATAGAGTTTCCCATTAGTCCAGTGGTTCTCAAACTTGAGCACATTTCAGAATCACCCAGTTTCTCATTCAGCAGGTCTGGGTGGGACCCAATATACTCACATTTTTAATGTATTTTCAGACCATAATACTGGTGCTAGGACTACATGTTGAGAAATACAAGCTAATTCTTTCACTAGGGAGTAGATCAACTGTACTCCCACAACAGAACTGCAGCACCATGGCACTGTCCTTATGTGCCCCATCACAAGGTCTGCATAGTAATGGGTCAAAGAAGGGCATATGATTTGTTCTCCATGCAGTCTTTGCACAAATGGTATCCTCCCTGTTAAGGTGAATGCCTCTTTGTCATTAAAATAATGTTTGAAGACAGTTATAAGATATGACAAGAAAGCAGCAACATTATTAGAACAAGCATATACCCTCCTGGTGGTGACTGCTTAAAAACTAACCCTAACACAATATATACTTTTTATTTAAGAAAATCATTCTAATTAATTCCTTTTTTATCTCAGTACCTATACATGTGGATCTCCTGTCACAGATTTGACAACTATATCCTCAACTATAACTTTGCAATCCTTTGCAATTTCTTTCTTTTTTCGGTTAGGTTGCCCTGAGGTATAGATAATTTTCTAGGATTTGTGGCTGAGCTAGTTTGCTGTTCCTGTGCTGGGTTATTTTTCATAAGATGTCTGGAGGAGAGATTTTCCAAAACATGCAACTCGTCCTTAGACATGGTTTTCGCCAAATCTTGTTTCAAAAGTAACCCTGGATCTGACAGCTCTAAAGTTGGCAAACGACCGACAGCTGTGCTTTTTTCCACTATTATTTCTCCAGAGACTAATCGATCACTTCCAAGAGAAACTCTCTTGTGGTGGTGGGAGTCTTCTGCAGAGCCACAGTTCCTGCATTTCTGTTGTGTTTTGGCCGCCCATGGACTTTGCTTTGGACCTGGGGATGCTGACTCACAGCTGTAGACAGGGCTCCTGCTTAGAAGTCCTGTCTTTAACCACTCCCCAGGATGAGGTTTTTGTTGGCTGTTAGTGTCTTCTGGTTGAGTCTGATTAACATTTTCCAGCTTTTGAACAGGAAGCCTCCAGTGGCGCTCCACTGCCTTTATGTAATCCTTTTCTTGTCCCATGGATTCTGATGCGGGACTGGATAAGGCCTGATCATCATCGCTCCTCCTCACCACCACTGTAATGTCTGAGTCACTAGAAGTTCTCACAGTGGCCCTGTGGCTCTGTGATTTGCTTGAGATGCTTTTCGTTTCAGTTCTTTTCACACTAAAACAAAACAAAACAAAACAAAAAAAACAAGCAAACTTTATGCTCTGTAAAAATGGCATAGTTCCCTTCAATTCCCCTTACCACATTTCCTACACCTGACCAGGAGGCATGGGCTACCTGCCTTCTCCTCAACTTTCCAGCATATCTAGAAAAATCTCATATGCAGTTTAAATACAGACTGGATGAAGAAATAACTTCTTCATATTCCCTTATATCAGAATATGTTTTGCTTTTCAGTCATTGGGGTCATCAACAGAGCTGTGATGGGGCTCACACGTTAGGTCAAAAAGGCATTTCACATGTTAGGGCCAATATTGCTGATGTTTGCACATGGTTTTTTTCTGGGTGTAAATGCTCAGATATATCCAAAGCTTAGGCATGTGTCAAGACAGTGCCAGTATGTCTATCTATCCATCTATCTATTCAGGTACTATAACTATCTCAACCCTTTTTCTACAAGCACACAACAGACAAGGTAAATTTCACTCTGTAAAATAACTGCACAGGGAAAATGACCTTACCTTCAGCAAGAAGTTAATGGCCAGAAATTTGTGAATGGCAAGAAACTTCTTCAACAAGTAAATTCAGAACATTGAAACTGGAATAGTTTTTGTACAGAAACTGTTACTCTCAGGGGTACAAGGATTATCATAATTACAATAAAGTAGGAATAAGCATTTTAGAAGTGTTTTTACATCTGTCTAGAGTCACCCTGAAAGTTATATGAAAGACACCAGCAGCAGGTGCTTTTTATCTTCAAAGAGCTTATAATTAATTATACCTTGCAACATACTTATGAAGCAAGGAATCTATCTCCACTGTCCAAGAGTACAAGAAATAGAGTCAGAGGGCAGAAAGGGCAAGTATGTGAGCCAGGGCAGGATCAGTGTCAGTGGGGTTTTTGTGATTAGGTTCCATGCACTCCTGTTTAATTCCAGACCCCATTCACTCATACAGGCAGTCAAAAATCAGAATAAGGAAACACACAGGACCTACATTTCTTTCAGAGCATTTCTCCTGAGCTTTGCACCGGGAGGAAGTGGACTCTCCGCACACTCAGCAAAATAATCAGACACTCCATGGAGAGCTCTTTCTGTCTACTCCAAAAGATAACAAAGGTTCAACCAGAAATCTATTAGCTGAACATGAGAGAAAACAGTTACACTTTGAATGCTCACAGATTTATTTTTATAAAGACTAAATGAAATTGCTTAGTGTTATAGGCTATTTTAATTTTATTATCTAGGACTTTCGGGTAAATTACAACTTCTTTTGGACTGTCAGTCTTCACATTTCATACATTAATATGCACTATGACCATACAAGACTGTAATGTAAGTGATTCTCCAAGCCAGTATCTGATTTATTTCTGAGGCATAAACTGAGACAAAAGCCCAGAATCACTGAGCCAGCCTGCAACACATTTGTGATAAGAGTTGGTGGCACAGTGGGGAGCACACTTTGGGTATCCTAAGCATTCCCATATTCTCCCTACTTATAAAAATAGAAAAGTATTATTAAAATTTTTAATACTGATATCTTCAAAAAAGGGGTTCGTCATTCTTGCTACTGAAAAATTGTTTTGTTCCTTTCTTATATTAATTACTACTATGGTTTTATACAATCCATGATTATTTGCTTATGTACATTTTTACATGCCAATGCAAGTGTCATGAGGATGTAATTATAAAATGGCAATCTTTGCCAACACTGGCATATATCTTGCTTTTGGAATCTTCCTTTTGGTTAGCAAGCAGACAATTCAGACAAGGTGTTATCTTCTCTTATTTTCTAAGACACTAAGTATTCTTCCCCATCAAATTACAGTAAGTCACTGACTTACAAAGATTCGAGATGCAAACTTTCACAGGTGTACTCTAGTAAGACTCACTTTGTTGGCTTACGAACAAATCCAAACAATTCTCCTGGAATGGAACTCATTTGCAAGTCAAGGACTTACTGAAGAATAAAATGTTTTAAGTAACAGTATTGGGAAGTTGTCAGCAGGTCCCTGCTTATTTAGGTTTCCATGGGAATCAACAGTGGCAGTCCAGAGACCCTGCTAGGAAGCAGCCATTAATATTATGTGGGTGCCTCCTCACATGGATAGGATGGGCCTCACCCAATCATGGTCCACATCGCTAAGATATGAGGAGCCTTTAGCATTAACAGTGCCCATGGCTTCAGACCCAGTGGATGTCATTCAAAATCATATCCAGTTACAACCCACGTTAGTCTTAATGGTTAGTGAGCAGAGTATTGTAGGCTTTATTGGATTACAATGCATTCTGATGCATTTCCATTTTGGCTTTTTGTTTCCTACAAATTTACTTTTTGACCGAAACAATGATAATTTAAAAGTTCAGGTGGGAGGGAGGGAGGGGAGGGGAGAGAAAGAGATTTATGTGTGAAACACTTCTAAACATGCCCTATAAGTACAGTAGATTTTCCCCCTACAACCACACCCTGTAAGTGCTGTATTTTCAGAGCTGAACAATTAACATAAGGAGCATGAGTCAGGCTTTGAACAACTCTGTGGGAACCAGAAAGCCTTTTGCTGTTAGGAATGATGTAAATTCCCCAAGGCTGGAAGAAGTCCACAATGGAAGGCAGACAGGGTCATAAATAACAACAATGGATTCGGCCTACACCACATGAAGTATGATACTGAGATAGTGACACTTCAAATCTCAGATTGGATTTAATCATGCTCTTTACTTATTTATTTTTAAAATCCAGTTTAAAGAGCACAGTATATTTCCTCTGGGAACTTCAAAAAGTTCTTTAAGAAACAGAGCAGTCAGCTCTCATCCTAAATTCTTCCCACAACAATGGGGGAAAGGGCCTAAAGAAAAAGGACAACAGAAAAGGTGACAGAGTGACAGGAGGAAATGTCCAGTTCAAAAAGTGCAGAACCTGTGACTTAGTTTTCAAGAAAAGGAAAAAAAAAAAAAAAAAGAGGAAGAGAAAGGCTAGGCGGGGTCTCTTGCTTACAAATTAAAACCACATTTGGCAATTTGTTGAAGGAGGTATATTTACATTTGTATGAAGACTGGGTGGGCAAGGAAAAAAAAAGGTAAACCTCTTCAGGCCTTGAACTGTCAGGTCTCATTAGAAATCTCTTATTCTTACATTTCTAGGGTCATTTCACTCCCCTTTGTCACTATGTCACAGTCTTTGAGCCCCCTTCCCTAAGTATTCCTAAGGAAGCAGCTATCAGCTGGGAATAGAATTTCCCAAAAGACTCTGTCCTGATTATTAATGAGTCTCATATCTGGCATCAAAATGAAATCTGTGACTTATCCCGAGGCAAAACTCCAAGGTGAAAATATATAGTTAATGGTGAGAAGCTTGCACACAGCACTCAGGGCTTCCACAAAGGACACCACTACTTTTAGATAATGGGTAAATAATGATTCTATCATCTTCAAGAAATATAGACAAACCCAACATATTCAAAGATGGTGCCATGCAAAGTCCAGAGTGGATAGCCCCTGGAGGCTCAAGTATTTAAGAAATGGATTAATGAGAGGATCTCTTGGGGCCTTCATAAATGATTGCCAGCTAGCTGTTAGCCTAGGCCAAGGAATAGTCTGTAAATATCATTTCCTGCCACACTGCACTCCGGGCTACCTGTTGGCCCTCACCTTACCCTTTATTTTAACTACTGGCAATACTTTGAGGATTTTATATTTAAAACTTGTCTACAAAAAGTGCCAAAACAGACATAGGACAAGGCCACTGGTCTAAGGAGTCTAATGTTGGGAGATACCTTATCAACTCAGGCAAGCCCCAGAGCAAGACATTAGCCTTTTCTCCATCTCTGGGCATGTTATAGAGACCAGTGAATGCACTAAGGTTGAAGCTATCAAAGCTTGTTATGGTTTAGATCTGAAACATCTAAAAAGTTTATGTGTTAAAGGATTGGTTCTCAACACAGCTGTGTTGAGAGGAGGGGCAGTGATCATGAGGGCTCTAACTTCTTCAGCGGTTTAATCCATTGATCCATTCATCACTTAAGAGGAGGCAGGGACTAGTGGAAGGAAGTAGGTCACTGAGGGTGTGTTTGTTCTTCAAGAATCTTTGTTCTGAGCCTCTTCTCTGCTTGTTGGCTGCCATGATACACTGCCTCATCACAGGCCCAGAAATAATAGAGCCAAGTACTCATGGACTGAAACCTCTGACACTGTGAGCCAAAATAAACCTTTCCTCTTTTTATGGCATTATGAGAAACACGTAAGGTTGTCAGGAGGTGATCCTGTTGTGAGAAGTGAACATCTAAAGGCCATAGGTGTTACTCTGGACATGGTGGTCAGAGCAGCTGCGCAGGTAGCAAAGTGAGCCTCACACTGAGACGTGAATGAAGGACAAGCTCCCTGCATGCATATAGGGAAGAGGTCTAAGGCTCTGAAGACAGAGGGTGGAGGGACCTTCTGTAAACCAGAGAAAGGGACCAGGGAACAGGTAAGAGGACCAGTGTATATTGGCATTAGAAGGGGCAAATCTTTTATGCCATTGTAAGAGTGGTATATTAAAGTGAGGAAGGTGATATGCCTGTGGAAGGTTTTGAGAAGGAAAATGAGTTGAAATTTTAAAAGGTTTATCTTGGGTGGTATAGAGCAGTATGGATGGAGGCAGGAGGACTGGTGATGAGACACACAATGGTCTACTCAGAGATGATAGGTCTTCAAGGATGTGCATGGTAGAGAGAAGTGGTTAGATTAGAAATATAATTTGAAGCAGACTGAAAAGAATCCTAATGAATTGGATGTGGGAGTGTGGGGAAGAGAAAAATTAAGAATGATTCCATAGTCTGTGGTTTAAGTAGCTAACTGCATAAAGTTGCCTTTTGCCATTGTAGGAAATGTAGGAGAGGGGCAAGCTTGGGGAAGGAAAACCAAGAAATTAGTTCCATCCTCATGAATGGGATTAGATGCTTTTATAAAAGGGTATATGAGGAAGTCAGCCCCACTTGCCCTTCTGCCTTCCACCATGTGAAGACAGCATTCTGGGGGATGAAGCAATAGACCTTCGTGGGACAACAAACCTGCTTCATCTTGGACTTCTCAGCCTCCAGTACAACAATAAGATACAATTTTCTGTTCTTTACTACCCAGTAACATTCATTCTGTTACAGTAGCACAAATGGATTAAGACAGGCATGTAGACTTTTAAGTGGAGATGTTGAGCAGGCAGTTAAGGTACAGGTAACCAGCAGGTTCCCAGCAGTCTCTGCTGCAGACCCAGAGTGGGGGAGCCTCACAGGTGGCATTTAAAGCCATTGGGGAGTCACAATAAGGTCTACCAGGGAATGAGTTCAGATGAGAAAAAGAAGGTGAAAAGATGAGGTAGATTCCAGAAAGGAGACCTAAGAGAACAATTGGTGAGGAAAAAGGAAAATCAGAAAAACTGATATGCTCACAGGCAAAAGAATGAAAGTGAAAAATGAAATGACAATGAAAGCATCAGTTGTGTGGAATTCTGCTGGCCAATTATGAGTGAAAACTGACCACTGGAAGGAAAGTGAACTTGACATGAACTGTTTTTGAAGTTCTGAGACCCAAGTCTCCTGAGACAAAGTCAGAAGGGAAGTGGAGACATAATGGAGACCAGAAGTCTCCAGGAAAAATATAATGTGGGCTGTACAAATAACTTGAAATTTTTAAAAATTTTATTTTATTCCATCCTCCCAAAAACCCCCTCCCCATGTACAAAAGCTTTGTTTCCACTTTTTACTTCTATTTTCACCTTTTTCTTGTCCCTTCCTTCCTTTCTCCCTCCCTCCTCCCTTGTTCCCCTTCCATTTGAACACTTTCTTCCCATTTCCCAACATCCATTGTACATCTCAGTTCTTATTTCCACATTCAGATTCTCACATTAGAGAAACAACGCAGTATTTAAACGTGTGTTCGATTTATTTCAGTTAGGAGTATGGGCTCAAGGTCCATTTATTTAGCTATAAATGTCTGATGCTCATCCTTCTTTATGGAAGAGTAGTACTCCACTGTATAAAAAAACCCACACCTTCTTTATCCACTCATCAGTTGATGGGCATTTGGGCTGACCAAGATTTAGCTATTACAAACTGTGCCACTAA